CATATAATTAGCAGTGGAGGTATAAAATTATTAATAAATTGAAATAGTTATCATTTAACAAGATTGATGCATAACTTGATCAAATTCTTAATAATGAATCAAATCCTATAATAATAGCTTAATTATAATGTGACTTATCAAAAGTCAATTAGAATTGTGAATTTAAATTGAAAAATGACAATTTCTCAAAAGAAATCAATTAAGAAGTGACTTCTTTAATCAAAAATAATATTTAACATCAAATTTAATAACTCACTAATTCATAAACTATTCAGCAATCATAAACACTTTCAACTACACAATCAAATCTTCAACCAATCATTTATTAATTGATACCACAAAATTCAATTCAATAAAATGAATAATGTAGAGCAATTGCTATTAATAAAGATTCTTCAATATTGATTGCTTCTAGTAATTTTTAAATTAAAGTGTTTGAATTTAAATCAGGTATGTTGAAATAAACTTAAATCTTAAGTGAACACAATGATTATGTTTTTACATTGAATTTTATGAACAAATCGGATCAGTTTATATCTGGGAGTGCTGATAGATCAATTATAATATGGACAAAAAATGAAAATAATTCATGGATTTGCAAATAGAAAATCAATGGACATACACACAGTATCTCTTGTTTGGTATTAAATAATAATGAAGATCTTATTGTATCTGGTAGTTATGATTACACAATTAAATTGTGGTAAAAGTAAAATGAATGGTTGTGCTCTTAGAAAATCACTGATCATACTTCATATGTAACAGGATTAAGTTTTAATGAATAAAAAAATAAATTGATATCTTGTGGATATGATCACCTTATACTAGTAATAGAGCAATCATAATTGAATAAATAATGGATAGTAATATAAACGATTAAAGTAGATCAATATGGAAAGCGATTATGCTTTATCGATGATAATACATTCACATTCTAACCTAATAATAAAGATTAATTGCATATTTTTGAGATGGATAGTACTAATAAATATTATACAAAGACGAAGCATATTTCAGTAAAAGGGGGTTCAGATTAATGGCTGTTCCCTTAATAATATATAAAATCAAAATGTATGGTTGTAAATAGGAATGCATAAAATGTGAATTTAATAAGGAAGCAAATAAATGGTGAATTTATAACCGAGTAATCTATTCAATTTGGAACTGTTGATATTTTTGGATGTATGTCTGATGATGGGTAGTATTTGATCACTTGGGATGACAAATCAAAAGAATATTAGATAAGAGAATATCACGAAAAATGAGTTAAATTAATATTTCCTTATCATTCATTTTTGAAATTATAAAGTTTTTGAAGTACTCAATATGATTTTATTTTCATTGAAATTGATGGCAAATACTAGATTTGTTATTTCATGTATAACATTAATTTTGACATTAGTATTCAAAGTTATCAGATTATATTATTTAAATGCCAATTCAAATAAATTGAAATGCTAATTTAATTTTTGAATTTATATCTCTCAAAATCTCTCTAAGTTCCTTAATAGAGTATGTATTGATTCTAATTATCAAAAAAGATTGTTTAAGTTGAGTCGCAAACTGAATCTAAATTATCAAAATTAAATTAAGTTGTCAAAATGGTGTTCCATTATCGTATTGATACAATTTTGCTAAATAAATACTGAAGGGATCTTTTATGCTCATTATATCAAATAGTTACATGAATTCTTCAACCCTATTTAAAGAATTAAACATATAGAGGGAAATGACCCAATTCCAAATGATGTTTTCTACTTGGCAGGAATAAATCTAAAATACCTTCTGAAAATAATTACCTTAGTTGTTAATAATTAAGATAAGTCAAACTACGACTTTTTTTTTTATTTGAAAATGATATTTTAATGTAAAAAGAGAACTTTCTCGTTCAAGGAGATAATTACTAAGCATTATTGCTTATGATATCCTCTAATATTTCTCAAGCTCTAAACCAAAACAATATTAAAATGTTGATTGATGGTCGAGATCAACTTTTAAGAAAACTACAAACATAAACCTGAACGTTAACGAGTTATTACCAGATTACATACTTTCATTCTTTTAAACACCAAATTATCTGTGTAAAACAAAATTATCATCTATTTCTTTTTACCAATTTTCTTCAAAGATATTTTTTAATGGTCAATAAGTAGCTAATTATTCAGATCGCATGTCATTAATCGCTTACATTTTATGCATGATTTTATTTTTAAAAACTCTATGCCTTATAAAAATAGAAAAATATATTAAACTTAGAATACAATAAAAAATTCGAAGCTTATAGGTAAAGGCAAAAGATCTTATGGTTAGCTTAAATCCTTCAGTATTCATTTTCCTTTTAACTTCAGATATAACCTAATAGTAATGAAACCAATAAACTAAGCAAACCTTATACAATTAAATTCTGAAGGTAAAAAATCAAATGCATCAATAAGAAGAAATTAAAGTTTATAACAAAATAATTATAGAATGCCTTGCAATCAGTATAAACTAACTTATTCATTAAAAATTGAATTATTTTACATTAAATAATATCAGTGCTTATTTAGATTAAATTCTTAATAATGCTGTAGATGCTAACTATTAAAAGCCTCTTCAAAAGTTATTTTTGAATATTCTGATAATTTTCCTTCCCCTAAATTTGAAAATTAAATTTATCAAAATATACAACCACCTAATTATATATAATAATAAAAGTAAGAATAAATTGTAGAATAATCTTTAAATCAACGCAAAGGAATCTGCAAATTTATTACGAATGGAAGGCAAGAATTAAGAATGTGAAAATGAGAATATTAATATTTTGATATGAGAATAAGGGTTCATGTTGAAAGTTATTCGTATGGAATCAAGGATACTTTCATCTATTTTCCATCAAAAATGAACCCATTTGTAATGAAAAAAGGGAAGATCATTTATTCAATAAATTGAACTTGCTTCTCAATACTCTAGATAACAGTTCTTCAGCATTTTAATATTGAAACATCTATAGAGTTTAACGAACGTAAATATTTTGTTTTTCATTTAAACTTAATGAAGAAATCAAGTATCAACAAGACATGGTACTATTAGGATAAGGTAAGAAAAGATTAAAAATCTATGGAGCAGATAATGGATACAACATCGCTTAATAATAATACATCAAATTATTTCAGGCAGTCATGATAAAGTAATCATAATTTGGGTTAGGAAAAATGAATATTTATTAAACAGTTCAGAATTTATATGATACAAAAATAAAATTAAATACACATAAGAAAATAGGGGTTATTTAAAGTCATACTAATTTTGTTTTGAAGCCTATTAATAATGAGATGAAAATTCAAAAAGAATAACACAAATGTGAAGTTGAAGAAGCAAATAGATTTAATATGGACCAAATACTAAGAGAATGTCAACAAAAATATATAATTTAACTTTGATATGGCCATCCAAATTATTCCTTCTGATAACAGTCTATACTTATCAGTTGATAAATTGGCCTAACGAATAAACAATCTCTTCTCTCACAACTCAAAAAGTACTTTCTAGTTTCACAATTAAGGGGCTTCAAAAAAATAAATTCTTACAAAGAGAGAAAGTTAAATTTACTGTATTTATATTAATATAACAAGTTAGAAGTTCAATTCAGGAAAAACATGAGTAACTTTTTTTATGGAAGTCGTTTGAACTAACATATTCGGAGACTTAGAATCTCTAGTGTGAGACTCAGAAGAGATACTTTTCTTATTTTGTATCAACCCTAAATGTAGTATTTGTAAATATTACTAAGGAGGTACGAGAAGCTGCTAAATTAACTACTTCTGCTTAATCAGAAATAGTAGAATTAAAAATTGAAAAAAGTTAATCAAACTTAGAATTTAGCTTTTTTATCATGATAAAGAGAATCTAAAAGAATAAAATAATGCATCAAACAACATAAATCATTTTATTTAACTCAATGAAGTTAACAATTAAATAAAAAAGTTGTTACATTATTTTTAATATTAATTTTAATATATAGAGTAAATCATTTCCAACCTTAACAGCCAAAAAAGAGCCTCTTCATGTTTCTTTATAACTGTCTTGCCCATTAGTGAAAGCACATCCTAAATGTGATAAAACTTCAAACATCTATGAGGACAAATCGCTAGAGAGAGTCTCTTTTCTAGACTCCGCCTGTTTCCTATCTCTCTCTATCATCTTCGGTATGCCAGAGATGACTTTATCAAGGTGGGGTAAAAGTTATGATTCACGGTTCATTTATCTTTTTCCCCTTCCCCTTGCATCTCAACCATAGCTTATTTCAAAACCGTAAGGTAAAATAAAATAAAAATAAAGTAAAAAGTATAATTACCAGATTTAAAAGTTTTTAATTTATCAAGAGATAGGAGATTTTTCGAATTTAGGGAAAAATATTAATTTCATATAATGACAAAGCAACATATTTTTTAACCAGGTCTAGTTTGACTAAAAAATTTTATTGCAGGTTCAGAGTGGGCCATCTCTATACAAGAGAATTCTATCAAGATCATACAGAGCTACTCCTTAAAAAGTTATCCACAATAGGAATTTGCGACCCGCCTACTGTCAATTGCCAGGGTGAAGTAGGATGTTTGTTATTTACTTAATTACCTTGCTATCTAACTAAAAGTAGGTGTAGTAGGAGACTGGGTACAGTATCTGGCAAGGGAGCCATGATACTCTCTTCTGGAGGGCTGACTCCGAACTTAATAAAAATAAATTTTATGTTTAAATATTTTTTACTTTGATTCAATATCGTTCTGCACTTCCATATTAATTATATAATCACAACTAGGAATTAGTAAGTATAACAAACTATTAGGAAATTATTGGAAAGTAAAGTTATAAAATGGCTTGCTATTAAGGAATCTGAAAAATTATTTAGTGTATCTAACTTAATACTTAAATTATTACATTAATCATTATGCATATATTTTTGGCTAACTACCCTTTTAAAATATGCATTATTTATAGGTATATTTTAATGGTGAGTCTGAGGTTATTTCAAACAAGCTCAATGGATTACTTCATTAATTGTATCCCTTGGATAAAATGCCTATTAAGACTTTGAAATTAAGGATGCTTTTATGACGATGAAGAAATATCTATAGCAGAATACGAAAAAGAGGCTAACCACAAATTAATATAAGGTATGGTTTTTTGCTTTAAGGTGATGAATAGATCAATTAATCTGAATTCAAATGCAAGTGAAGATTTGATTAGAGCGGGTTAGATGATAATGAAATTTAGGGAACATTGATATTGGTATTTCTATACCAAAAGTAGAATAGAAGGCAAACCAATTATCAAATTGAAAGACCAGATAACATCCATATTTATTACTTATTGATGTGAGCACATTAAAAAAATAGCACGCAAAATCCTAAACTCATTACATTGGGGCAAGAAGCCTTTTGAAAAAATCTATTTACTTATATTTTTCTAAATCTTAATTTGAATCCTGCTTAATTGTAAGAATAAATCTAATTTATTTTCTCCAAATATATAATTTTAAAAAGGAAATATTATATTAAAATGAACTATGTGAAATGACGTTATAATTTATAATTGCCTATAGAATTACAATTTGGACTAAGCAAGTAAAAATGAAATTTGTTTGATCCGAAATAAAATTTGGAAAGTCGAATTCTATTAGAGGAGAGAAGTTAGTAAAAGGGGGCTTTTAAATTTTTTCAGAATTACTTGAATAAACAAAAGGTAAATTTAGGTAGAATAGGGACAGATCAAAATCTAAAATAATAGATGACACAATATTTAACACAATTAATTTTGACCAGCAAATGATTCGAAGTTAGAATACTTTAATATTTTTATATTTCTCCTGTAAAACATTGAAACACACTGAAATCATCAGAAACCAAAAGGTTTATCAAGCAAAAACGATTTTTAATATGCAAAGCTAACCATAATCCCATGAAAGGAACTTCTTTATGAAGGATTCCTAGTATATTTTTATTCTTTAAGAATAATCATTTCATTTACTTATTAGATAGAAAACAATTAAATTTACTTTTGAATACCAACATGTTAGTAAAGTAATTTAGTTTATCCCTTTGAAGAAAATTAATCTAAGAGTCTAATTCTAAATCTCCATTTCATTCTTATTCTTTTTCTATTGTTTATAGAATACTGGATCTGCCTCTACCATTTAGGGATAACTATCTAGATATCAAGAAGGTGTTTTTCTTAATTTTCAATGAATTTAAGATTTCTGCCATTTAAACTTCCTAATTTTCGCAATGGATTTCTTATTAAGGATAATTAAGCTTGAATAGAATATTCTTCAATTTATTTGTGCAAAAAGTATTGACCTTTAAGAATTATAAGTATATATAGTGAAATAGGATATATCCTAATTACAGAAGCTAGTCACAAAAGATCTTAAAATATTTAATCACATTTAATTGTGGAGCAAATAAATATCCCATTTTTAACCCCGCAAATTAATATTTAATTTTTAATATTCTAAACCAAAACTTGAAATTACTAATTATATTAATCCCTGTAATAAGAAATGGTTACAAACAAGTTTTCAGAAGGATAAGTTCCTATTAGCATTATTGGAAATTTTTTATATTTCATAATCCATCCATTATTTTACTTTCTTCTAAATCATATGCATAAGAGTAGAATTTGGGATGATATGATTCTTTTTTAAATGTTGTAATTTTAATTTTAGTAATAAGGTTCAGCGATATGATTAGAAAATTAAAATTATAGTCAAAATTCTTTTTTTAATCTTGTTATTTTATTAAATCAATACATGTTATTTTTTCCTAAATTTTAAATCAGAAATCTATTCCATACATTTAATCTAAAGAAAGCTTTCTAGATCAAAATTGATGACTATATTTTTCATTCGATTCTATCTAAGATTATTAATTTAAAAACACAAATTTCGAAATAGAATCACCTGCTTATATATAGTTTAGAATTATTGTAGAATAATTCATATCCAAAAAAGCTAATTGTTATTTTGAGTACTTTGGTCCATTCAAATTTCTTCCACTCTATATCAAACCAAATTGAGGGTAGCATTTCGATTANAAGGAAATATTATATTAAAATGAACTATGTGAAATGACGTTATAATTTATAATTGCCTATAGAATTACAATTTGGACTAAGCAAGTAAAAATGAAATTTGTTTGATCCGAAATAAAATTTGGAAAGTCGAATTCTATTAGAGGAGAGAAGTTAGTAAAAGGGGGCTTTTAAATTTTTTCAGAATTACTTGAATAAACAAAAGGTAAATTTAGGTAGAATAGGGACAGATCAAAATCTAAAATAATAGATGACACAATATTTAACACAATTAATTTTGACCAGCAAATGATTCGAAGTTAGAATACTTTAATATTTTTATATTTCTCCTGTAAAACATTGAAACACACTGAAATCATCAGAAACCAAAAGGTTTATCAAGCAAAAACGATTTTTAATATGCAAAGCTAACCATAATCCCATGAAAGGAACTTCTTTATGAAGGATTCCTAGTATATTTTTATTCTTTAAGAATAATCATTTCATTTACTTATTAGATAGAAAACAATTAAATTTACTTTTGAATACCAACATGTTAGTAAAGTAATTTAGTTTATCCCTTTGAAGAAAATTAATCTAAGAGTCTAATTCTAAATCTCCATTTCATTCTTATTCTTTTTCTATTTTTTTAGAATACTGGATCTGCCTCTACCATTGATAACTATCTAGATATCAAGAAAGTGTTTTTCTTAATTTTCAATGAATTTAATTTCTGCCATTTAAACTGCCTAATTTTGGGAATGGATTTCTTATTAAGGATAGTTAAGTTGAATAGAATATTCTTCAATTTACTTGTGCAAAAAGTATTGACCTTTAAGAATTATGAGTATATATAGTGAAATAGGATATATCCTAATCACAGAAGCTAGTCACAAAAGATCTTAAAATATAAAATCACATTTAATTATGGAGCAAATAAATATCCCATTTTTAACCCAGCAAATTAATATTTCATTTTTAATATTCTAAACCCAAACTTGAAATTATTAATTATATTAATCCATGTAATAAGAATGGTTACAAACAAGTTTTCAGAAGAATAAGTTCCTATTAGCATTATGGGAAATTTTTTATATTTCATAATCATCCATTATTTTACTTTCTTCTAAATCATATGCATAAGAGTAGAATTTGGGATGATATGTGTCTTTTTTAAATGTTGTAATTTTAATTTTAGTAATACAGTTCAGCGATATGATTAGAAAATTAAAATCAATAAAGAATTGATTACATGTAATCTAAAGAAAGCGTTCTAGATCAAATTGATGACTATATTTTTCATTCGATTCTATCTAAGCTTATTAATTTAAAAACACAAATTTCGAAATAGAAAAAATTTATCAAAGAAAAGAATGGAGAAAAAGCCACTTCTATAAAATCTTTTAAGAAAAAATTGTTTTAAATATTAGGATGATGAATTCAATAAATATTTGATGCTTGAATAATTAAACTACAAGCAAATGTGTTTTCTGGAATTTTGTAGCATAAATGATACTTTGAGATTTTCATTTAAACAGCATAACGACAAATTAATTTGAATTACAGAATAATATATAATCTTATTTTTGATAAATATTGCTAATTATTTGAAAGTAGTATATCCTTGTATTTTTTTTTAATTAATAAAGTAAGAGCCATTTATTTAGTATCACCTGCTTATATATAGTTTAGAATTATTGTAGAATAATTCATATCCAAAAAGCTAATTGTTATTTTGAGTACTTTGTGTCCAATTGAGATAAAACTTCTTCCACTTTATTTCAAACCAAATTGAGGGTAGCATTACGATTAAATATTAATTTATAATTTCTAATCAATAGCAATATATAATAATTCGTAATCTTATAAATATATGAATAAATTTCTGGTTGTATAAAATATTACAACTTCTAATTAAAATTCAAGAAAAAATAAATTTGTCTCTTGAAGTTGATATCTCTAATTCAGTGAAGCATCTATACATCGTTTGATTTTAAGTAGCTATAAGTTTATTCTAATTTTTAGTTGCTATATTGATTTATGTTTCTGAAGAACCAATTTAAACAAGCATATTAAGATTTGTCCTTTTCCATTATTTTTAACCCGAAGTTTTTTAAATCTTTATTGTATTTCAAATTTATTCATATCGAAATAGTTTGAAGTCTAATACATATTTATTACAAATAATTAAATACCAAAAACTCTGTAACTATTTGAATAGTAAATTAAGGCAATTTAAGCATCTATATAAGTGATATTATTATTTTTCATCTTAAATAACATAATCATATTGCTTTAATGCTCAAATCTATATTTGAAATTTTGTCACTTCTGTCATACATACAGTAATCCATTGCATTATTCTATAGTAATACTAATAGCTAATGCACATTTATGCCATACGGTCCTTTATTTTATTACTTGACTTAAATGTACCACAAGTTGTCGTACATTATTAAGAAAATATTGGATATGGTGTTTGGACAAAATATCAGCCTTTTGGTCTGATGTCAGACTTGAGTATTATTACCCTTTATTATTTTAGGTAATAGGGAATGGTAACTAGATGGATCTATAAATAGATCAAATACGATCTAAGGAGGATAGTTTATATATTCAATGAAACAAAGGGAGAACAATATCTAAATTTTAGTTGTTTCATTAGTAGTTGACTAGATTGATTAAAGATTTCAACCAAGTATCTACTATTCATTTGCTAAATCATCTGGTTTAATATAATTCAATACATATACAATAATTGAAGGTATATGGATTTTGTGTTATGCATATTTTGATTTTCTTACAAAAATAACAACAATTGGAATCTATAACAATCATGAACCATTAAAAACATATTAAATTTTGGATACACCGTCATTCGTGAGCCAAATTAGACATAATGTTGGTGGAATATATTCATACAAAAACAAAAATGGAGATCGAGTGTAACTAACTTAGTTTATTGGGTCTATGTCAAATTTATTTACATCAAATAATTAGAACATTCTTTTAGATTTAGAATAGTGCGTTAATTAATTTATTAAATATGATATTTGCTTTAGTAAAGAATATAATATGAGCCAGAAAATTTAGTATATGAGTGGATTCGATCTTATTCAGATGTAAACATCAGTACTCAACATACCTATCTACTAGATCCAAGGATGGATAAAACTAGACGTGCCAAATTTACCTTTCCTAGAAACAACAATTTTTAGAATAACTATTAATTACAATTATAGTGATGATTCTTATATCGGTGATAGAGAAGTTTTATTGAAATACTTTCAGAGTAGTGTTCCAGGGGAAAATGGTTTTAAAATTTCCACTTACAGTTACGCATTTCCAGTAAAATCGAGATATAAGACTTAAGAGGATGATAAAATTTCTGAATATGGCGACCAGTATTCTTCCATGTTTATTACTTGGCATTATTTTTCATTTGAAATAGGAACATTGAATAATGATGGCTAACCATAATTTACTTTATATTTTCCTTCTGAAAATTAATACTATAAATACATTTGGGATAAAATTATAAAGCACTTTTCTGGAGCTACATACTACATATTTATTGGAGGGGATAATTATGTGAAATCATATCTTAGAGGATATGTCAGTGATATTAAGTTTTATTTATATTGCTAGCCTGAAGTTCCTGTGGTTGTAGTTAGTTGTGATTATTCATGTTTAGATTGTGATGGTCCAACACCTTTAAACTGTCTCAGTTGTCACGAAAATAGTCATAGACAATTTTCTAGAACTGGAAAAACTTGTAATTGTTAGGAAGGATTTGTGGATGTAAAAGACCAAGAAGAATGTGTATCAGTAGCTGAAGCATTTTCATATCTTACAAAATAAGAGATTGAATTAAATTGCAATTTAGAAGGCTACAGTAGATGCGATGGATCAAATGTTGAGTGTAGTTTTGGATATTTTCTATTTAAAAACTAATGTGTTAAATGGTAATAATAAGTATATTTATCTTAGTTTAGAGTAGAGCTTAACATATATACTTTTATCAATAATTTCAAGTATAAAAAAACCATAGTATCTTTCAAAAAATCTTAGAATCACAGAGAATCCTTAACCAAAATTGGCATAGGGACTTATTTGTTGAAGAATTTTTGATGTTTGAATAAAAAAATTACCTCAAGGCAAGAATATTAAATTAGGAACTTTCTTACATAATTGTTAAATGTGAAGAAGAAGAATTATGATGAAAAAATTAAGTAAAAGCTCTTTCTTGATTATATTTGCAATTTACACTCTATAAATAATTTCCCCATTTAATTAATATATTATATATCATTACTTTATCAAAGTTATAATATTATTACATGTTTAGTACCTAAAACTCAAAGAACAATTTTCTTTGATATTCAAAAGAATCATTTTTCCATTCTAGAATCAATTCATATTTAAATATTAAACCATCCTTATTTACTGATTTTGCTAAATCCTAATTCAATATTAATATAAAGGAAACTAACCCATTGTATCATCTAAATAAATAAATGTCTAATTTCCTTATCATTTGTAATTTTTTTAAGATAACAAAACCTTTTAGTATGAAAAATTCTGGATCTACTTTAATTCGTCTATTAACTTTTCAGGACAAACGTAATTTGCTTTATTAATCAATTTTCATTACTTTGAATATTCTCAGAATTCGTTGCTCAATATGTAATCATGAAAAGCAAACAATTTTAAGTTTGCTTAGGAGGGTATAAAAATTCTCAACATAAACATTTGACTTAAGTAATTTATTTATTTCAAAGTATTATTTTTGATGTAATGGATTTACTTTGAGATTAGTTCTATATAATTGACATAGCTCGAAAAGTTTTTTAATATTTATTTTGAATAAATTACAATATCTAATTTCTTTAAACTCTATTAGTAAAGATATTTTTAACTTGATTAATTCTGCATTCTTAAGTTGGTTTTTTATGTTGTACATCTTTAAGTGTAATTAATGATAAGTTCTTGTTTGATAACAAAATGAATTAAAGTTTGCCTGATAACTTAATTTACAAATCAAAATACAAATTTGTTTTTTACTCAACAATAAAGTTCATTATTAATAAAAGCTATCTATAAGATGGATGAATAATTAGAAATGTATATAAAATACTAATAATTTGATTATAAATATCTTAAGGATAATTAATTTATATAAATGTTATGTGATTTGGATAGAAAAGTGTGTTAAAAACATAATTTAGAGATTTTAACAATAGATCTTAAGTAATCAACAGCTGATGATGATAAATTC